AAAATCTACAGATTTTCCTAATTAATTATTCTGCTTTTCCCCAGATGTAAAGAATTGAACAAACATGAGGTTAGACCAGGAAACCCTTCCATGGATGCAGAGTGTAAAGAGAAGATGAACATAGCATTTATAGTATTGTCTATTGTAATACCTGTAGTGATTGTAGTGATTGGTGGTGTCCTTGGAATTTTGTGGTGGAAGAGACGAGATCTGAGAAAGTGTACAGGTTTGTGGCTTTAATACTATTGTTTTCTGAACCAACACATTTTTATTCTTTGTTTTGTATCAGTCAAATCAGAAATATTCTTCTTCCTTAGATGGGTATTGGACCCCTGCGGATGCCATCTAGGCCACCACACAAAATATTCTCATCGTGTGCTTTGTGGCTTTATTACTATTTTCTGAACCAACCCATTTTTATTCTTTGTTTTGTATCAGTCAAATCAGAAATATTCTTGTTCCTTATCCTTCATGAAGGATGTTACTGTATACAAAATGCAAGTTGTTGTTTCTCCTTCCATTTTTCACCCATTTTATGCTCATCCTAGTGCCCAGCGAGCGAGTTCTACCAGTTTATTAGATCTCAGCAGATTTGTTAATCTCGATGCCCCAGCCTTTTGTCATTTCCTTTAATACCTCGACTACCTACGTATCTGCTTAACTCTCTTTTAAACATTTACTGATCATTTTTATTACTGACTCAAATTGATTCATTTTTCTTGTATTATTATAACATTGGCATAATAGCACAGAGACTTGTAAACTGTAATCAATTGGTACGTATTCTTTCTATTAATTGATCTATATTTTTCTTGCAGCAAATGGTGAGAAGGAAAAAATGATGACGAAAAGGTATATTAAATGTTACTATATTTATATAGCACTGTGTGTAATGTATTGTCTAAAAACTTGAGTTGAAAATTATCAAGGCAAAATAGTGACATTCCACAAAACACATTCCAAAGCCATTGAAAACAGCATTACATCAGTGTCCACCCATTGATTCCCCTCTAGTCTCTTCAGTGACCTACATTTTATGCCAACAGTTAATGCAAACTAAATCCATGTTAATCATTCACTCACTGTACATGACAATGACATTATCTGCTCACAGGCTTGTTCTGTGCCAGACCCTCTATATGTGTAGAGTGTAAATATTGTACTGTACAGGTACGAGGCCAAAATAGATGCTGATTCAGAGTGACACTAGTTTGTCAGGTGGCTTCACTTATATACAGTTTAATTGGCTTCTGCTTTCTCCTACAATTAGTCTCTACACATTACAGTAAAATGTGAGGTGCTTTGAGATACAGTGGAATCTGCTTTAGGCGATGCCGGTTAATCCCAGATGATGGGTAAATTGAACAAAATGCCCGGCCCTGAATCATTTGTATTCTAACCTGTTTTAATTAAGCCGGTTCATTCAGACAAAAATCCGGTTACTCTGGGCAAAATGCCGCACTGTTCACCACTGAATGGACTCACTCGGGCCTTTGTGTGACACGCTGCTCCATGCGGTCCTGTGGCTCAGTGGTTAGAGCACTCGCTTGCACGCGAGAGACGTGAGATCGATTCCCGGCAAGGTGAAATGTTGGGCAAGTTTCCTTACTCCACAAGACTCTGCTTACGTAGCAGTCAGTAGGAACCCAGTTGTTCAGGGGCAATAATTCCTTAAAAATAAATAATGAATTAGTCACTCAATCCATGGCTGTTTGTGGGACACGGCTGTGCGCAATTGGCAATTGGCTGCCGTGTTTCGCCCACAAAATACGCAGTCAATTCACTTTCAAGTATACTTTGTGAAGAGCTTTGAGACGTCTCGAAGACATGACAAGGCGCAAAATCGAATGGAAGTATTATTATTCAGCCATGAGGGTAGAAGGGAGGAGGCCATAAGATTGATTGCCAGCGGACTCCAGCCATTCACAAGGGGCTGGAGTTGGGCTGTAATCATTGAGGGGGCAGAGCAACGGAGAACAACAAGTGAGGGAATGGGAGGAGTCCACTCACGATTGAATGACAGCTGAGCCATATGAGAGTGGGTGAAGCCCATCCATTCACAAGTGGCTGCAGGCTATCAGTCACTTCAGTGTGCCGCTAATTGGTCCCCTTCCTGTCTAATGGGAATGGCAATGAGAGGGAGGGAGGGAGCTCCTCAGCCATTATTTTGCAGCCAAACAAAGGTAAATACTGTATAATTTACTGTATACTGTGAGAGAACAGGATTTTATCTTTAACTCCTTGGACAACTCCTTGGTGTCCTGTTTGGTTAGTTAACACTGAAGCCCATTAACATCCAAGGCCATTAACATCACTTTATTATTGCTTCAGGTCAAACAACGTTATTATATGTTATACAGAGTCGGCGGGGCTCCTCTGCTGGTATTTCAGTTAACCTTCGATGCCTCTTAAGCCGGACAAAATGGCTGTCTGATGTGTCTGTCTTAACTGGTTTCCACTGTATTTCAATGGCATAAGGCACTCTATCAATACAAGGATTATTGTCCACTTAAAAATGATCAGTAATTCTAAATTAACTTAGATTTTTTGTATTTTTCTTGTGCAGCTGACAATTTTGTTGGTGCGTTATAACCTTCTGAAAGAAAATGTGATTCAGGAAATGATACAAAAGAAGCAGCAAACACGTGAACACATGATCACTGATGGAGAAGGTTGGCTGTTCCTAGATTTTCTTTTGTTGCCCAAAAGACAAACTCACCCTCATGAGTCTTGAGACGAATGAAAAACGAAACCTATCACACAACAGATTGACTTCAAGATCCTCACACGTCTACAAATCCCTTCACACCCTGGCACCTCTCTACCTCTCCGACCTGCACCACTCCCCACTCCACCACCTCTATTCAGCTGTCCCAAAAGATTGGATCTCGCTCCTTCAGTACTTCCACTTTGCCGCCTCATTTTCCCTTTTCAGATCACGCCTGAAGACTTTCCTCTCGACTGTGATTACGGTCACCTCCTACACTCGGCGTTAGGCTCAGCCAGTGCATGACAACAACAACAAAATTATATTTATAAAGCACCTTTCACTTGTAAACGACATCCCAAGGCACTGATGACAGCCGCAATCAAAAATACAAGCGGCTGTTGTAAACAACAACAACAATAAGATTCCATTTATTGAGCGCCTTTCACGTCGGGAGGACGTCCCAATGCGCTGTACAGTTGGGTCAGGACCCGAGCATTGGGGGGAAATGGTCAGGGTGAGGGGAGGGAAGGGAGGGAGCGAGGAGGGGGTAGAGAGTCGAGAGGAGAGCTGAAGGCACAGTCAAAGAGAAAGGTCTTGAGACCGGCCTTGAAGGAGAAAAGGGTGGAGGCGGCGAAGGCACTGGGGGATAGAGTTCCAGAGCCTCGGGGCTGAAAGGCTGAAGGCCCGGCTACCAATGGTAGGGCGGTTGGGCCGGGGGATGTGGAGCAGACCGGAGCCAGAGGAACGGAGGGTACGGGCGGGTAGGTAGGGGGATAGTAGGTCGGAGAGGTAGGAGGGAGCAAGGCCGTGAATGGCCTTGTAGGTGAGGGTGAGGATCTTGAATTCAATCCTCTTGGGGATGGGGAGCCAGTGGAGGCGAGCAAGAGTGGGAGTGATGTGTTCCCGAAGCCTGGTGCGGGACAGTACACGAGCTGCAGATCTCTATCTGATCACTATCTCAGATCACTATCATGGAATATCTCAAGACAGCAGAACAAGGCGACATATTGCCTTTCCTATAACACCATTCACATTAGGATGTGCTTTGAGCTATTTCGATTCGAGGTATATGAACTGTTTGAGATAACTTTTTGCCATTGTTGAAATCTGCTTATCTTAGCATTAAAAGATTGAAGGGGAGTTATGGACCATTGGGAGAAAGCATCTAGCCAGCAATGTATAATAACATGTATTAATAAAAATTATGTGAGACACCTATTGCCAGTATCTTTATAATCCTTAACAATCCTTGCATTTGATATAGCGCTTTTCAGGTTTTCTAGACGTCTCAAAGCGCTTCACAGAATATACTGCAAAGTGAATTGACCATATTTGTGGGCAAAACTCAGCAGCCAATTGCGCACCACAACAACAACTTGCACTTATAGAACGTCCTCCACACAGGGTAGTGTCTCAGAGCGCTTAACAGTGGCGGATCCTGACTCCAAGCCAGGGAAAGGGTGGCCGTAAGGACGGTCGAAGAGGAAAGTCGGGAGAGGTAGGGAAGGGTCAGTGAGTGAATGGATTTGAATATGAGTGAGGATCTTGAAGGCGATCTGTTCAGTGATGGAGAGCCAATTGAGCCTGGACAGAATTGGTGAGATGTGGGCATGGAGTTTGGGCCGGGTCAGTATGCAAGCAGCAGAGTTTTGAATGAGCTGGATCTTGTGTGTCATCCAAGTTTACCCCGTGTCTGCAGATGACATCGCCCAGAGGCAGTATATAGATAAGGAAATGAAGAGTTTCGTAGCCTAATGGGTGAAGGCACGGCCACTGATGGTGGAGGGGATGAGGGACAAACGAGGTCTCCGACTCGCTCCTTCCCCTCTTTCGAAGCACGTCAAGATCATCTTTTCCCCTCCCACCCCACCTCCCTCGGCTCTCACCCCCAGCTCAGGTGTCCAGCCAACAGTGTCAAGAGCTTTGAGACATCTTTCCTATGTGAAAACGGTGCTGTGTAAGTGTTGTGTTTCTGGAAGAGAAATATTGCTTATATGGCCCACGGACATTTATCAAATACGGCATCCGGTCCTCAGCCGCCAAAAGGTTGTACCATCCTGACCTACATGAAGGATGTTATATAAAATGCCCCGCCCTTCTGCCATTTCCCTTAATACCTCTACTAACATATCTGCTTAACTTCCTTTTGGAAATTTGCTGAACATTTTTATTAGTGACTCCAGTAGATTTGTTTTTCTTGTATTATTATAACATTGGCATAATAGCCCAAAGACTTGGAAACTGTAATCAATTGATACATATTCTTTCTATTAACTGACTGTATTTTTCTTGCAGCAAATGATGTTGACAAAACACAATTAGGAAACAATCAGAAAGAGGTACATTAAATGTTACTATCTTTATGTGAAATGTATTGTCTAAAAACTTGAGTTCAAAATTATAAAGATAAAATAGTGGTATTCTAATGCTGCGTTAAGGATTATTATCCACATAAAAATGATCAGTAATTCTAAGTTAACTTAATTCCTTTTTTTTCTTTTGCAGGAGGATGTGAATTTGTCGATACAAATCTCTAACGAACGTCATGATTCAGGAATTGGTAGTTCAGATACCAGTCACAGGACTAATTTAGGAAATAGAAGGAGCAGCAAAACACCTGAACTACAAGATCACTCATTGAGAGGGTTGGAAGTGCTTGGATTGACGTTTGTGGAACTTCAGACTTGAAAACAAGTGTGTGCAGATCTTTTGGTGATGGGCAGCCAGAGGAGCAGACGCCAGGGCAGATACAAGGAAAGGTGATGGAAACCAACTCACTGCACTCATTTGAAAAGTAGTTTGAGGCAGTGATGTAGGTATGGTGGGGTGGGTGTTCTGGAGGTATGAGATTGGATATGCCGGAAGGTCATCATAGAGATCAATCTTGTGATCATGATCTTCTCATCTCACCCTGGAGAGAATCATCCTTCTTGTCTAAATCCGCAGAGCACAGGAGAGAGTTGGCAGAAGGAATCACATGAGGAAGTATATTGTCTTATAACTCTGAATCCTCTTAAACAGAAGTAACATTTCTTCTAATAATACAACCCTCTTCCCCCCCAAAAAAACGAAGGCAATGATAAGTCCAAACTGAGGTGGAAGTAAATATATGGCCTTTTCTGTGACTGAGGCCGAGACTTGAAGTTACTTCAGTTTTGTCCTTTGGTTAGTCCACATTTGGAGATCTGTGTACAGCTCTTGTTGCAATATTACAGGAAGGATATAGCAATGGTGAGAGTACAGTGAAGGAGTCCTGTAGCTCAGTGGTTAGAGCACTCGCCTTACAAGCGAGAGACCTGGTTCAATTTCAGGCAGAGGGCGAAACCTTGGGCAAGTTTCCTTACTCCACACAGAGCCTAATAATATTCCCTCCAAAACCCAAAACAATAATAAATTGGTCATTTTCAATCTATGACTGTTTGTGGGACATTGCTGTGCGCAATTGGCTGCCGCGTTCGCCCACAAATATACAGTCAATTCACTTTACAGTGTGTTCTGTGAAGCGCTTTGGGACGTCCTCCCGACGTGAAAAGCGCTATATCAAATGCAAGGATTATATTATTATTATTATGGACCCGACGTGCAGTAGCAGCAGATGGGCCACAGAGGGCGCGGCTGAGCACAGCTATGTGCCAGCGCATCGGCGCCTCCAAGTGGCACAGCAGTGGTAGCGCAACTAGTTACCAAACGCTCAAGAGGCCGGGAACGCCCAGCGGGTCAGGCAGCATCTATGGAGAGGGGAAAGTGGGTCAACGCTTCGGGGTCCGCGGCTCTTCGTCAGAATTCAGTTGTGAGGAAAGGTCGTGGACCCGAAACCTTGACTCCCTTTCCTCTCTCCGCAGACCCCGCCTGACTTGCTGAGCGTTCCCGGCCTCTTATTCTGTGGGAGAAGTAGATTTGTCATTTTGAGGCTGTCAGAGCAAAAGTGTTGATCTGCATTGTGAACATTGTTCGGATGCGTTGAAGCGCGTTCTGATGCCATCAACGCCACACGGCAGTTTGCGGAGAGAGTTAGGGAGCTGAGCCAAGAGGAATAAAACAGTCTTAATGTCAGCTTGAGGGTGACTGGTTTGTATAGGTTCAGCCGGCGGTAATAAATCTTATTGAGTGACCAAATTATTATTACAGAGGGTTATTATTACAGAGGCCTGTGCAGTAAGGAAACTTGCCTAATGTTTGCCCTGCCCGCGAATCAAACCCAGGTCCTCTCGCTCGCCAGGCAAATGCTCTAAACAATACTACAGGACTCCCAAGTAAAGCAATAAAGTTTAGTGTAACCACAAGTGGTGCAGCGAAGAACTTTTTTTAATTAGGCCACAGAGGCTGTAAATAACCATTTTTTTTATAACCTTGAAAACGCCACCAGTCGGCGCTTCACACCAATGGGTCCTGTTGTTTGTGTAACAAAAACCCGGGTCAGAAAATTATTTTAAAACGAAAACAGCAGAAACTCCCAAAAAGTCACTCGATCGTGGTTTGAAAGAGTCAATGTTCCATGTTTCAGCTGAAAGCTCAGCAAAATTTCTCTCTTGAAGAGAAGCGTGAATTGGCTCGATGAGCATTCACAGCACTTGTTTTTTTACAGAAGTTTCGGTTTTGCTGTTAACCATTTCTCACTCTGTCTGTCGCCAGTTGCTGTTACAATTCAATTTTGTTTTTAGGAAAAAAACGAGGACGGTCAGTGAGAGAGAGGGTGTGTTGAAGGAGGCACAGCTCAGGTTACTGTGACACAAAGGAGCTTCCGCGCCCCCACACACACACACACATATTAGACTGAAAGCAACAAGGAACTCATATTATTTTCTAAACTGACACTCCATTGCAGTGCTGGGAATGTGCTGCGTTGTTGGAAGTGCGTCATTCAGATGAAAGATTAAACTATGTCTGAGTTTCTCTCTCCCAGTGCTCTGGCCAACAATCCCTTGGATAAAATTGCTCATTCACTCCATGGATGTTTGTGGGACTATCAAAGGCTCCATTAAATTTGAAACAGAAAGTGCTTTTTCCACTTCCTCTATCGGTGAAACTATCAAACCACGTCTGATATGATGTGCAACTGCCCACTTTGACTTTGTTCAAAGGTGAAAGAACATTTGGATTTGTTTGGAAGCTTCTGGATTGTACACTGCTGTGGGTTGCACTCCCTTTGAAAGTGAGAGACCTGAGTTCAATTCCAGACAGAGGGCGAAACCTTGGCAAGTTTCCTTACTCCACACAGAGCCTAATAATAATCCCTCCAAAACCCAAAACAATAATAAATTGGTCATTTTCAATCTACGACTGTTTGTGGGACATTGCTGTGCGCAATTGGCTGCCGCGTTCGCCCACAAATATACAGTCAATTCACTTTACAGTGTGTTCTGTGAAGCGCTTTGGGACGTCCTCCGACGTGAAAAGCGCTATATCAAATGCAAGGATTATTATTATTATTAACTTGTGATGCATTTGCCAGGCTCAATTTTTGTCAGATAGGTGAGGCAATGCCTCTTGTACCAACATAGTTGTGACTCCTGGGTTCCTGCTCATTGCGAGGTATACAGAGGCGTGGATTCAAATGCTGCTTTTAGAGCATTTGTGTCGCTCTGCGTGTGCCAGGTTTCACCTGCTCAGTCTCTTCTTCAGTGGCTGTTATTGCTACAACAGCACTTAGTGCTTTCACCCTCTCACTGTGTTCCCTCCAATCATTACAATACAATATTTCTTGGTTTCTGTGTTTACTAGAATGCTGCTGCTCTCATTCCTATCATTGAATTTTTTTAATGTGTTCACAACTTTCCTCAAAGGGATATTATGAAATGCTGAAATTTGACCTCTGTGCTGTTTCATTTTGGCTCTGATACTAATGAATTATTAGTAATAATGAATGAATTATTCGAGCTCTTTGTGTTTTCGTTTTTTTTTAGAAGCTCCACAGATGCGGCCTGACTTGCTCAGTGTTCCCAGCAACTTCTGTTTCTATTGGAGAAGAAGTCGTTTGAACGTGTGCTGCTCTCTCAAGTGTTAAATAATGATTCACGTAGGCAGGCAGTATGTAGCTCGTGTTTATTGCAAAATCTCTGGAGGCGTCAGAGTGTGATTTGCATCTTTTAATTTGGTTGAGTGGAGAACATGCAAAACTAAAACATTTAAGCATTTTCCCCCACTGACAAAATAACCAGCTGACTGTCTGTATGTTATACTTCCAGTGATAAGCACCCATGTGATTCGGGTTGATTAGCGGCTTATCACGCTAGTTGGCTTGGCAGCAAATTATGTTTATAATAGTACAAAGTTCAGGAATTACCCTTGTCTACTTCAACATTTTTATTAAGGGGAACAATACAGACTGTGTTGTTCACTGAGGAAGTTCACGAGGCAAAACCTAACATCTTGTTTTTTCCTCCATGGATGTGAAACTTGCAGAACAAGAGCTTTACTGAGTGCCGGTTAGGACACAGCTGCCTCAGGTCTTATGAAAGCATTTGATCGTTGCAGCTGCATACTTAAAGATAAGCCGTTGGGTGGATCTGTGTTGGTTCAAGATAATCTTGGGCTAAAGATGTCTCAGTGGTTGAATTATCCTTAGCCCCCCCACCCCCCCCCCCCCATCGCTCAAACAAGGCCTACATCTTGTAATGTAAATATGTTTTAGAGTTTTCCGAGAAGCTTGGCAGACAGTGATCTCAATGATAAGCTGATGGGTTTAACCGGTTAAACTAGCAGTAAGCCAACCCGAAGCCTTGGTTCTTGCCAACCTGAGGCTGATACACTCAGCTAACAGTTAAGCTCCTGTTAACCCTGCGCCAAAGCCCCAACAGGGAGGGTGGTCCTTGCTGGACAAAGCGGGAAAGTTTGCCAGACAGCGATATCAATGGCAAGTTATGGGGTTTTAGCTCGTTAGACTCCAGCGATTATCCCAATGCCTTGACTCTTGCCAACCTGCGCCAAATACTTTCTGGAATTAGGTAAGCAGAATACTTCCCTCCAGGGAGAGAGAGAGAGAGAGAGTGTGCATTCCATTCCAACAACCTATCTCTGGGATCTCCATGCGTAGGTGGGATGCATGAAATTCTCGGTTTAGTTTGGATATTCTTAAGCACAGTGTTGTGCCTCCGCAGGTGTCAGACACTCAGCTGGGCAGAAAAATGGCATATGCATGATATATAGCCTAGTCCTGATCCTCAAGCACGATAATGGTAATAGTTTCCGCATATGTCAACAGGATGAGCAAAAAACCATGATTAATTGTGGTCTTTAGTCGTATCTAATGCTGATTGCTCGCTCCCGGCCTCTGCGTAGGTGTTTTGGCTGCAACCCCGACCTGAGCCGCTCCCCCTGAAAATGTTGCTGCTCCCACTCCCCACACTCTGCTACTCCCACTCTGCCCTTCTCTCCCAACGCCCTCCTCGCTTTCTCTCTCCTGGACTCCACCATTACCACACTCTCCTCCGTGAGGCTCATCATGGCTAACCCTCTACCATCCCTCCTCTCTCTCCCTCAAAATACTTCTAGTTTACCAACCCCCAAACCTCCTGGCTCCTTCCTCACTGATATCTCGGCTCTCCTCTCACTCCTGTCCCTCTGCACTGAGCACCTGCTCATAATGGGTGATTTCAACCTCCACCTAAACTCAAAACAATAAAAACACACAACACAATGCAGAGCAGTGTTGCCATGTTTTTATTTTAATAAAATAATAATAATTCTTGGAATTGATATAGGGCCTTATCACAACAACAACAAAATTACATTTATAGAGCGCCTTTCACGTCAGGAGGACGTCCCGAAGCACTGAACAGTCAGGTGTTGGGGGCCCGAGCATGGGGAGGGGTGGTGTGGATGGCCTTGAAAGTGAAGACGAGGATCTTGAATTTGATCCTCTGGGGGATGGGGAGCACGTGGAGTCGGGCGAGGGTGGGGGTGATGGGGTCACGGGCCTGGTGCGTGAGAGTACATGAGCTGCAGAGTTTTGGATGATCTGCAGCTTGTGAAGGGAAGAGTAGGGAAGGCCGATGAGGAGGGCGTTCCCATAGTCGAGCCTTGATGTGACGAATGCGTGGGTGAGGGGTGAGGCAGTAGTGCAGTCTGGCAATGTTGCGGAGGTGGTGGTAGGCAGTGCCGGTCATGGCGCGGATGTGGGGGAGACAGGACAGTTCAGGGCCAAACAAGACAACCAGGTTCCTGACTGGCTTAATGAGGTTGAGTGCGCAGCCGTGGAGGCTAATGCTGTCAGCGCCTGAGATTGCAAGCCAATCAGGAGGGCCTCGGTCTTGCTGAAGTTGAGTTGGAGAAAGTTGGCCCTTGGCCAGGACTTGATGTGGGACAGGCAGTCGGTCAGGACAACAACAACAAGAACAAGATTCCATTTATAGAGCGCCTTTCACGTCGGGAGGACGTCCCAAGGCGCTGTACAGTTGGGTGAGGACCCGAGCATTGGGGGAAATGGTCAGGGTGAGGGGAGGGAAGGGAGGGAGCGAGGAGGGGGTAGAGAGTCGAGAGGGGAGCTGAAGGCATGGTCAAAGAGAAAGGTCTTGAGACCGGCCTTGAAGGAGGAAAGGGAGGAGGTGGCGAAGGCACTGGGGGATAGAGTTCCAGAGCCTCAGGCTGAGAGGCTGAAGGTCCGGCCACCGATGGTAGGGCGGTTGGGGCGGGGGATGTGGAGCAGACCGTAGCCAGAGGAACGGAGGGTACGGGCAGGTAGGTAGGGGGATAGTAGGTGGAGAGGTAGGAGGGCAAGGCCGTGAATGGCCTTGTAGGTGAAGATGAGGATCTTGAAATCGATCCTCTGGGGGATGGGGAGCCAGTGGAGGCGAGCGAGGGTGGGAGTGATGTGGTCGCGGTGTCTGGTGCGGGACAGTACACGAGCTGCAGAGTTCTGAATGACCTGCAGTGTGGAGGGAGGTGTCGGGAAGGCCGGCGAGGAGAGAGTTCCCATAGTCGGCAGTAGTCCTGGAGTTCAGGGTGGAGGCGGAGAGGTAGAGTTGGGTGTCATCTGCACACATGTGTAAATTTACCCCGTGTCTGCAGATGATGTCACCAAGGGGGAACATGTAGGGGGTGAAGAGGAGGGGACAAGGACAGAGCCCTGAGGAACACCGCACGAGATGGTGCGGGGGCTGGAGGAGAAGCCATTTGCTGTGACAAAGTGGAGGTGGTGTGAAAGGTAGGACCTGAACCAATCAAGACAGAACCTTGAAGGTTGGAGTGGAGGAGGATTGAGTGGTTCACGGTGTTAAAGGCGGCAGAGAGGTCAAGGAGGATGAGGAGGCAGAGGGGAGCCCTGGTCACACATGGTCAGGATGTTGTTTGTGACCTTGACCAGAGCAGTTTCCGTGCTGTGGGCAGCACGGAAACCCGATTGGAGGGGTTCATGGAGTGAGTGAGTGAGTGAGTGAGAGGAGAGGAAAGAGCGAAGCTGGGAGGCAACAGCTCTCAAGGACCTTGGATAGGAAGGGGAGATTTGAGATGGGCCGGTAGCTAGATAGCTGTGATGGGGTCGAGAGGTTTCTTCAAGGTGGGGTGATAGTGGCTGTTTTGAGGGGGGAAGGAACAGTGTCAGGGAGTGGTTAATGATGTTGGCGAGTAGTGGGGCGAGGAGGTGGGAGCTGGGATTTAAGGAGAAAGGTGGGGATGGGGTCCAGAGAGCACGTGGTGGGCTTCATGGAGGGTGGGGGAATGAGGGTGACAGAAGGCACCAACAAAGAGGGGTCTTGAGACAGGTCTTGAAGGAGGCAATGGAGGGGTTGAGGCGGGGGTTACTGCAGGATGGAGTTCCAGAGGTTGGGAGCAGAGTGGCAGAAGGCCCGCCGCCACTGATGCGGCAGGCGAGGCGGAGGACGTGAAGCAGGCCTGAGTCAGATAAACAGAGTTGTAGGGAGTTAGAAGGTTGCAGAGGGTGTGGAGGGCATTGAAGGTGAGGAAACAGGATCTTGAACTGTATCTTCTGTGTGATGGGAAGACAGTGGAGTCCGGGCGAGGATGGGGATGATGGGGTCGCGGTGTCTGGTGCGGGAGAGGACATGGACTGCAGAGTACTGGATGTTTGCAGCCTATGGAGGAAGGAATTGGGGGTGGCCGTGAAGCAGGGGAGTTTGCATAGCCGAGCTGGATGTTATAAATGTGGTGTGAGGGTCTCGGCACCCTGCGTTGTGAGAGAATGGCAGAGACGGGCAATGTTGCGGAGTTGGGGGAAGGTCATGGCGGCAGATGCGGGTATAGAAAGGATAGTTGAGGGTCAAACAAGACGCCAAGGTTCTGGACTGGATTAGCAAGGCGGAGTGTGCATCCTTGGATGATGATTCTGTCAGCGCTGACGGGAGCCAGTCAGGAGAGCCCCGGTCTTATTGATGTTCAACTGAAGGAAGTTAATAATAATAATAATAATAATAATAATAATAGTTAGCTCTCATCCCGACTTGATGTCCGACAGACATTCTGTCAGGACAGCAGTGGCCCTGGAGTCGAGGGTGGAGGCAGAGAGGTAGAGTTGGGTATCACCCGCATACATGTGGTTCTGACGAAGGGCCGTGGACCTGAAACATTGACTCACTTTCCTGTCTCCATAGATGCCGCCTGACCTGCTGAGCGTTCCCGGCCACTTCTGTTTTTTGTTCCCATATTGGAGCCTTTGGATGGTACAGCTCGTCATTTATAACATTATTTGGAGGGATTGATTATTTCAAACCCGGCTCTTGCCAGGCAAGTGCTGCGCCCACTACACTCTGGAGACTTGGAGATGGTGCGGGGGCTGGAGGAAAGCATTTGCCACGACAAAGTGGAAGCGGTGTGAAAGGCAGGACCTGAACCAATCATGGCGAGCTTCATTATTTAGCAAACAACATCTGATTTACTGGAAATCCTGAGATCCTCTGAGGAAACACGTGACTGAGCTGCTCCCTCCCCCCCAGTGAATGTGAAAGTGTTGACAGATGAAGGAACTTTGCTCGCTGTTGTTGTGGAAGCCGCCGAGGCAGTAATTGCTGCTCTTTCTCTCTCACTCACGGACATTTACTGGCCGTTCCCACAGATGGTTCTGCTTCTCTATTTCACGAGGGGATCGGGCGGGCAAGAGAAAGGGAAGGGTTGCGCGGCTGACGGGCTGTCAGGTCAGTAAAAGTCACACCTGAAGGGTTAACATTTCTGTTGTAATATAATTTGATGTTGTTTCCTTACATTTGATGCGGTGGCCGCTCGGGGGGTGGGGAGGGTGGGGAGGGTGGGGGGGGTGCGACAGGACAACATACAACGGCTTAGACTGGGTTGCGAAGGGTTATTCGGTTGTGTTAACCTCAAAGTGAGTTGCCGGAACCAAAATTGAATGCGATGAAGTGGCGCCTTCTGGTGGCAGAGGACGTTACTGTAGGAGGGCTCAGCACCCTGATAGGGGCAGGGTCTCTGCACCCTAATCAGGGCGGGGCCTCAGCACCCTGATAGGGGCAGGGCTCTCGAGAGCATGCGTGTTACTAAACTTTCCTTGCTACAGCTTTTATATTAAATATTATTAAATTCTACTGTTACTTTCTGTTTTTAGGGTCGACCATATTTTGTAAACCAAATCCAGGGATGTGTACAAAAAAAATGAACTC